GAAAAACTAAATTTTTTATCTCTGATATTTTAACCGAGTGAGCAAAGTGGGTTCAATTTTTTTTTTTTGAAAAAAGTTACAACTGATTCACATTTTTTTCTTGCGAATAAATCAAAAATGATGCTGCACTTTTTATTTACTAATTACATATAAAAGTAAGTGCACGAATACATAAGAATAGAAAAAAATTAAGGAAATAATCAAATTCATTTATGTTTTTCTCCAAAGTACAATAATGATTATAATATAATATTACTATATTATATTATAATATAATTAGAATTGAATGATGGTGACAAGAGTAATTCAGCCCATAATGATTTTAAATTATTAAAATAGGTTTTTTCCCTTGAAAATGGCCTAAGGGCTGAAATGTTGGTGTAAAAAACCAATAAAATAGGACTAATGTGATCAAATATTTTTTTTATTATTACTGTTAAGGCACTAGCAGATCCAGGATTTAATTTTGGGTGGGGCTACAGCTCCAAAGCTTTTTTCGTCATATATATATATATATATATATATATATATATATATATATATATATATATATATATATATATATATATATATATATACAACGATAATTACTATGAAAAAAAAGAAAGATACTAGTTACATATATGAAATGGTGTTGTGATTCTTTAAGTCCTATTAAATGTAATTGCATGAGCAATAATACTTTAATTTAAAAGATAATTAATTAATATTTTTTTTCCATGAAACATGTTTACATTTTACCATTTCGGGAGGGGAGGGGTCTTCAGCTAAACCCCCCTAGATCCGCATGTGTATTAAGGTGAAGTCCAAGCCTAAAAGATTGAAATAATGATTACGTTCGAATTTCGACCACTTGGAGAACACTAGTAACATCAAATGTACTGTTCGAGATTAATACTGGTTCAGCATTTATCCTGAATGAAGTACATGTTACATTATAATATTTCTCATCCCTAAGATCTAACCCCTAATAGGGTTGTATATTGTTACTAACCGGTGTATGTTGAAATATAATATTATATAATATAAAATTATGCAATATAATATAACATATAATATAACATATAATATAACATATAATATAACATATATAACATATAATATAACAATTGATTAGTTATTGAAGCTGATCCAGGTGCCCTTTTGATATAAGGACGTACTCTCCTTGTCGAATGGGAACCAAGGGCAGCCACACCTACGGATTTGTGTCTCATTATTCAGTCTTTTGTTGTCTCCATTGTGTATAAAAAAAAAGTATATATATATATATATTAAATATTGTGAAATTAGGCCATTTTAAAATAAAGGATTTATCCAAAATAGTTCAAAATAAATTATTTCTCAGCTGTTACTAGAAATAATTAAAATGCAGAAATACCAACAAGTAATAAATGTAAGTTCTACAACTTTGTTATTGATTTTAAAGTTATTTATGACTTTTATTTTAAATATGTCATTTATATAAGTGTAACGATTTAAAAAAAAAAATTTATTTTTAATTTTTAAATTATTTATTTTAAGGCCACAATCATTATTGAATATTAGCGGAAAATATAAATGAATTTACATGTTTCCAATATTCTTTTTCAATTCATTTATTCGTTTATTCACTTTTATATGTACCTACTTGCTAAAGAAAACAGTGCAAGACCGTTTATGTACTTTTTAAGTTAGTAAAAATGTGAATCAATCGTAAGATAAAAGAATTGATGAATTCAACATGCTCACTCAGAGAAAATTTGAGGTAAAAAATTGTATTTTTCTATCTCTATGAAAATTCATATTTGAAGGTTTTTTTCCGGGTGTCAAACACCAATCTCAATTTGCTTTCTCCATAAAAGTGGTTATACCCACTTTGCTCTTTCCTTTGGGTCTTATAGTTTCATTTCAACATTGCACTTATACTATAGCTATATACAAACACAAATTAGTCACAATAGAGCATTTTTTAAAAATATAAACCGAAGAAAATGTAAAAAAAAATAATGCAATAAAAATATCTTAACGGGCATGATTCTTTTCGGTTTCTATGATTTTTTATTTTATTTTGTAGGAATTCAGGAAGTTTTCAAAACTAATAGGTGTAATGGACCAAAAATCAATTTACTTTTTGAGTTATTCGCGAATTAAATTGTAAATCCAACTTTTTTTTTTTGCCTCTTTTATTGTTTAGAGAGACTCACGTTCCGTCCATTTCGAAACGAACCCCGGATGGTAAATCAAATGTATATACAAATATTCCTGAATTTGATTGTAACGTTCTATTAAAATTTCAAAGCGATCGATTAAGAATTTTCAGAGATTAGCGGTTTTGAACAATCTAACTTAATACATACTCTTTCAAAAATGTTTATTGATGACACTAAGCACGTCCATAGCTACTAAACAATAAAAAATCCAAGGTATATGTTTCAGACGACACGATAGAAGTGAAAACATCAACGCGAGATTTATAATATGAAATATAAATTATAAATAATAGCCCATTACAGAGAGGATGGTATGCTGAACAATTCCTTCGCTAAAAAGGTCCGATTTTTAGTTTTTGAGATATTTCAATCCACATTATTAATAAAACTCATTATAATTTTTTTTCTTTTCGCCTCCCTAGCACGGCGTCGCGTTAGTATACAATTTTGAATAGAGCTCATTACAAAGAGAATGAAGCTATGAACATTTCTCTCGCTAACAGTATGGGGTTCGATTTTTAGTGTTTGAGATATTTTAAATCTTGTTTTGGAGCCTTCACATTTTTATTATATTTTCTTCATGACAGAATATAGAAGTTTCTTCAGTTAAACATTCCAATCATTCGTTGAGTTATATGGAGAATATACTTAGATGCAAAGGAATGTAAGTATATCTTCCCTAAATTTTTTTTACAAAAATTCCCTAAACTTTAGATGAAATTTTCCATAATGAGCAAAGTTTTTTTTTATGGTACTATTAACACGTTCTGTCCCAGAAAATGTTTAATGGTTATTAGATGGGAATGTGTTTTTTATTTTTTTTCTGTTATTATTACTTTATATATCCTACAATTTAAGAGTTCTTCTTGCAAAAACACTTCAATCAGTCGACTCCAGCCAACTTTACCTGAGCGCTACAAATCGGAGATCTGACGGCTCAATCTAATCCACTCTCCACAAAATAAATAAAAAAAGCGTTCAAAGAAGTTTTTACTTTAAAAAAAAAACGGTAAGAAACAGAGAAGGAAAAGGGACTAAACTGTTTTTCCTTTGGCTATTTACATCAATGAAGCATATTGTATCTTGACTATATCTTCATATAACAGTCGCTTGTAAAATTCATTCATGAACAAGAACCGATAAGATAATACAATCAATCTAGTCATAATCAGACTACTATTTCTGACAAAGCATCAGAGCTTTTGCGTTGATCAAATCTAAACCAATTCGAAAATTTATTAATTAATTTTGATTTATATAAACGCGATATGAATACACCAACGATTACATCTTACAAACACTACAGGTACGTTAAATTTTAATTCTAATCGAAATAACTTTAAACCATTAGAACAATGTTTTTCATCCTCTTGGCTTACTGATAAACCATGCGGCCTTCTAAACCGTGAGTTCTTCTATTATGACATTTTATTTTATTTGTTAAACGTTCGTAAGATTTTAAATAAATTATAATGAATGTTTAATGAAAATTCTATGGTATTATTTTTCCGTTTTTTTTTTTTTTCTAAATCATGTTGAATACAATTGAAAAACTTCTCAGAATCATAAAATAATAACTGCTTACAAACCACAACAAAAATAGACCATAGTTTATTATGTATTCATACATTTTTTTATTATAATTTTATACCATTTTTATTCTTACAATTTTGTTTATTATCATAAATGAGTGGATTTTTAAAAATAAAGAAATTTTTCAATTATTTGAAACATATTGAATTATATAATTTCTGCATTACTTATCTACGATGTATTTGCTAAAACGCTCCCAACTATAATGATAATTTTATGGACAAACATCAAAATATATTGTTATTTTCTTACCTTTATTTTGTTTTTTCCTTTAATTCTTTTTTTTTTTCTATTGGGATCTACATATTTTTTTTCCTTCTAATTTTGTTCTTTGTACCTTCTTTTTTTACTAAACAGGGTATGATGCTTCTATGAATAGGAGGTTTCTGAATTTCTACTTTCTACCTCCTATTTCTATTCTTGGAGTAAAATGTGTAAAGCAATTTGTGTTTTTTAATTTATACAAACTTTATTTTTACGAGTTTATAAAATAATCCTTTTCCAACAGATCAACGCGGTACCACGAACTGCAATAAAAAGGTTAAAATTTATGTGTTACAATAAAAATATTTTTAAAAAATTATAAATTGTAGGATATAAGATATTGTAGGAAAGTAATAATAACAGAAAAAAAATAAAAAACACATTCCCATCTAATAAAAATTAAACGTTTTCTGGGCCAGAACGTGTTAATGGTACCATAAAAAAAAACTTTGTTCATTATGGAAAATTTCATCTAAAGTTTAGAGAATTTTTGTAAAAAAAAAAAAAAAAAGATATACTTACATTCCTTTGCATCTAAGTATATTCTCAATATAACTCAACGAATGATTGGAATGTTTAACTGAAGAAACTTCTATATTCTGTCATGAAGAAAATATAAATAAAAATGTGAAGGCTCCCAAAACAAGACATCCATGTATTTTATTTTTCCACTCAAGGCACTATAAAGCACCTGGTAAGCATTCCCACGTGTAATATTTATACCTTTTTACCAGGTCAAATGCTTTCCCCATCATCGAATATGAATTTGCTTCAGATGAAATGAGGATTAATTAACTCCCTATTAACTAAAACCATCCCATCGCTTCTGAATAATTACCATTCTCATCAGTTGGTTAATTGGAACATTAATAAGATAGTACGGCCCATTAGGGAGAGTATTTATAATATGAGAATGTTGGAGGACATCAGTAGAGGATTGGCAAGGGACGAACAATGAGCTACCAAGCAGAAATAGGAGATTCAGACGTCATCGAAGGGCTAGATATCAGATTTCTTGTCAAATCCGGAATGTTGAGGCTCATCAATGACTACAGAACCACTGGGAAAATGAACTCCACGATAAAGATTCATCTGATTGGGACATTCATCATCACGTTGCCTTACATGGTCTGCCAGGGACTTAGCTTACTCAAAGTACAATACGATATTAAGAAGGGTACGTTCGTAATTTTGCACCCTATGGCCGCTTTTCAAATTTATTGCAGGATCCTAGTATTGTGGTTCGGTATGGAGAGTCAGAGCAGACTGTACAATATGATAAGGAAGGATTTCCTGAATATTCCGAAAGAGCTGAGTGCTGATGTCAGCGAATTGTACCAGAAGAAAAACAGGACTTCTAATTTGTGCTGTAAGGCTACATTTATATGGAATGCGAGTATCGAGTTGTTATATATATTCTTTCCAGGAGTTTCCGTGGACTACATCCAAAACCGTACCAGAGGCAAACCTGCAGTCATTTCGGGGAGAAACAAGATATTGAGCGGATGGTATCCGGTCCCGATGAGCGAGTACCCTTATTACGAACTTATTTATCTTTACGAAACACTATGTCTTTTATGGTCTTCAACACTTCTTGGTTTATATTTCTGCATGTATTTCCAATTGCTGATGTGCCTCTGTACTCAATATGTAACGCTTGGCTATCGGGTTACCAAGTTGAAGGTTGATCCAGTTAAATATAAACGAGACCAGAAATACAAGTCGAATATTTATAAAGAATTATGCGAAGTCCTAAAAGATCATCAGAAACTGTTAAGGTATTCTATTTGACGACATTTATTTTTTTGTTTTTTACCATTTTTTTGTCTTTATTTTTATTTAATTGGGATGCTATTTCTTATTCTTTTTTTTTTTATTAAAGTTAAAAGTGTTTTATTTATCAGGTATTAAAAACATATTTCTAAGTATAACAGAACAATATTTGTTTTGAGATGAAATAAAAAGACAGGATCTGGAGTACTGAAGTCATATCTCCCTCTCTCCCTCAGAGAGGACACAATATCGATTGATTCGTACACAAATAAACCAAAATCATCAGAACTACGAAAGAATTTATCTTTAAGATTAATTAAAGAATCACTTTTAATAAGAAAACCAAATATTACCAACTAAATTTTACTCTGTTAAAAAGAATTATAAAAATCACTGCTATGATAACTCACTAAAGGATTTAAGAAACTACAGTATAGGAAGGAGTTGAAAATTGATTTTAATATTTGGTAATGTAAATTATCAAGAAAACCTCTTCTAACTTTATCAAGACGAAAATATGGGCATTTCAAAGCGTTCAAATCTCTCACTACCAAATATAGAAAGTTTAGTCTACCAGATATTTTAAAGTAACAGAACAATCCTCTATTAAAAATGAATAATACTTATTCAATTTCAATTATTTATTTTTTGAATTATTCATATAATTACCATTCCTCTAAAATTTTTAAATATCGTACTTAAATTCACGAATGAAACAACCACATGAAGGATTAAATTAGTATCTAAAGATTATTCGAATCTATTTTTTGCTTATAGGTCAGTTTCATAAATAATTATACTTAGTTTTTGTTTATATATGATTTATTAATGTACGTTTCGGGGAATCTCTGCCCCCTCTTCAGTATGTAATATGCCTCAGAAATGGGTAAGTCCAAGTTTCTTTTTTACTACGTTTTTTATTATATTTAATAACTAGCTGATGTACCTGTCGTTGACAGGTGTATAGTTAAAATTTGAGAACCTTGTTTTGAGATGGATTTTGTATTATGGGGAGAGGATCCAAATTTAATTTCATAAAATTTGGAGGTAGAGGGTTGTTTTGAATTTTTATGGCGGGCCTATGGAAGTCAAAGTTTCTCAATAATCATAATAAAAACTTTGTTATTCGGCTATTTGTTTAGGTGCCACACAACTAAACGGACCACCACCGATCCATTAAAATTTGTTAAGTGTTTAATTTTCATTTATGAGGAAGCATGGAGATTGTGGAGTCGATTGAAATAATCAAAAAGAGTTGTAGCTTCTCCACTCCTTTAAACTCTGCTGAGTTTATCGGTGGAAAAATAACCAAAGTAACATTGAACATTGAGTCACCTACATCCGTGTAAAATTAGAACTTGATCTGAATATTGTGGCGGGCGGGGTGAACTTTTTGGGAGTTTTTTTCCCCGATTTCCGGTTAATCCGTTTGGTCAATCCTAAAAATGTATACGACAACATTTGTTAGGCTCGGAAATTTTAATTGAATGACACCTTGAACGAGAAGATCGGACACAGTTGAAAATGAGTGTGTTTTACGCGTGTTTTAAGCGACAACGCATTACAGATGTTTGTTATTTCGGATTTTTCCCGTTGTTATAATTTTTTCAATCAGTTAAATAGTACAACTTTTAAATGTGGCTTGCGGTAGAGTAGGTTGGGATGAGAATCGAAGTAACTGCCTAACCGAAATCTCTAGACAAATTACTCAAGAATTCATAACTTTGGTTCTACTCAATATTTTGTTTTCGTTTAAAGCCTATGTTATAAGTCAAGCAAATCTAAATATAATGTCAAAATTTAAAAAGTCTACCATTGGCTATTGCTGAGTTTACCTCTGACAAATTTTTGTAGGACAATGCGGACATACAGATAAAAAAAATTTTAAAAGTGGATTTGGTGTCGGTAATGTATGAAACGGAAAGATATCATGAAATGGGTTGATTCTATTCAATGTACAGGCAAAACCTTTGTTTTATTTATAAAAATTTAATTTTATTAGTGTTGCTATTATGAATTAAAATGTTCCTGTAATTTAGCTTATCCAAATTCATGTCACTATTATTATACACAATTCTGGGGTATATTATAAGCTGAAAAGGAGAACAGAGATTCTTCGAAATTTATATTAATAATAATAATCTAAAACTAAGTGTAATTATTTATTAAATCAACTTCTGGAAAAAAATAGTGGAAATATAGTTTTCAAAAAAAACAAAACAACTAAAACTGTAGAATGGTAAATTTTTATTTATTTGTTTTTTGTCATTTTTATTTATTTATTTGACTTTATTGTTTTAAGGCATTATTCATGTCTCTATAAAGAATTCACTGGTTGCAGACGTTTTAACAGTACTAAATTCAATAAATAAAGTATTATAAAGAATGATAAAAAAAAACGCTGCAAATTATTTCACAATGGTTTATTATCTCCAAACAATTATACATCTAAAGTAACATTACCTTCCGAGTTACAAAGAAAAAAAAAACAAAAGGTGATTCCAATTATTGGACTAAACTGTTTTTCTTTAATCATTAGTAATATGCTAAAAAAAAATAGCATTAGTTCAGTAACACATTTAAAATTTAAAAACCAAACCAAGGATATAACATTTAGAGTAGAACACATAAAAAAAAACCGGAGACCATATTTTTGCTCCTAATTGTCCGATTTTAACGATTTTTTTTTAAAGGAAATTTCGTAAACTTTTAAAAAACTATATACAATGTCAACAAAAAAGTAAAAACTTTTCGAGTTACTCGGAATTTAATTTTACCATCCCTCGTAACTTTTTTTCCAGCTTCTTTTCGTTGAAGTATGTTATATAGATAAATTTAAAGGGCGTCGAGAAAATGACTTTAGCGAAGTTTCATTGAAATCTGTACATTCATTTAGGAGCTACAATCTATAGCAACGCAGGTTTTTCGGCCGCCAGTTTAAGTTAAAGGCGGAGAGTAATGTCGATGAAGGAGGATCATCCTCGGGTGACCTTTGATTTTATATCAAAATTTGAAAAAAACGGTTCAGTAGTTTCGGAGAAAATGCGCGGACGGCGGACAGACAAAAATTTTTTTATTCGTTTTTCGAATTCTACGCCTCCCGAAACGTGAAACCTCAAATTTTGAGAGGGGGTTATGTTTTTGAATTTTTTGGTCGATCACAATGTTTCATTATTGAAAATAATAAACCAAAATCTTAGTGTAGAATACTAGCAGGGCCGGAACATGGCGGAAATTTAGGAAGAATTCTTTTTAGCTTGTTCTACCATGATCCGGGATTTGAACCTCGGACCTTGAACATTGGAAGATCAGTTCCCTACCACTGAGCCACCCCGCTCCCAGAGTACGCTTAAACAAAGTTTTTTCAAGATTATTTTTCCTGTGGGATTTGCTTGTTTTTCCGGCACTGAAGAAGAAGATAATCTTCAACAATGGCTCATTCATTTAATTTGATGAAGTACTAACGAAAATAAAAAGTACTACAAAGTACTTTTCAGAAGTACTACTTAAAGATAATATTATTGCCGCCCAATTTAAAACTTGGGCATCTTATTTTATAGAACCCTTTTCCACCTGTTATAGATATGAATCGAGCCCATTTGTAGCAGGGAATTTATAAAGTATTTATTCTATCAGCCATGGAACGCCAATCGTGTAGAGAGACAATTCAAGGACTGTAACAGTAAAGATTAATTTTATTTTTATATATTCTAAGAAGTATTCAGATTTAGTCGAAAATGTCTGAGTATCCATTAATAATCCACTTCAAAACATATATTCTTTATTTGTCTTTAAAATTATTTTTAATACCTTTTTTTTAAAACCTTATGCATAAAATACTTTTAAATAATCTGGAAATAAGCTATGGAGACAGATATAAATAAAAATAGCCAAGTTTAAATAAAATGTTTAACCATAAAAAAAAAAAAAAAAAAATGATTGACTCCTCAAGTAGTTGATTTTCGACTCATACTTCCTGCAGGTACACTGATGAACTCAGGAGCGTATACGATCCTTTGGTGACGATGACAATTGGTATAGGAATTACCGTTTTGATCATTGGTGCCATCCAGTTCCTCATAGTAAGTTGGAGTTTTATTTAATGTCCTTTTTATTTTATAGGTTGTAATGTTCTTTATTTGTTGGCATTGCATTATTTTTTAGGGGAAGACAAATGATCCCGGCATCATATTCAAATTGATCCAAATGTTTTCATTCAGAACATTCTTCGAAGTGTCTATGTTCTGTTTCGGTTCTTCACGAATTGAAGAAGCTGTGAGTATCTGATTGTACATGATGTTGATATAAGGTTATGACTCAATCCTTTCTGAGTTCTAATCCAAAACTTATTGGAATGCATTAGCATTTGACTGTTTTGTTACAAATTTAAAGTGCATCTCAAGAACCTAAAATAGTTACAGAAAACTGAATTACTATCGATTCTTAATCATTTCAGCTTTTAAGTTAACAGAATGACTGACTCCAATTTCAACATTTTTATTATTAATTTTAGTGATATTTCTCGTTGGAAAATTTATACCTTTATTCATAGTTTTATATTTCAACACTGCTATCACCTAATCTGAAATTAACTTTCTCACCGTCTTTACATATATTATAAATTTTCCAACTTGAAATGTCACTAAAATGACTTTACCCAAAAATGTTGTAATTGGAGTTAGTCTTTCTGTCAACTGAAAGGCACAATTAAAAAGTTTTTTTATAAAAATCTAAGTTCTTTAGTCGTTTTACTTTACTACTTTAAGTTCTTTAGTCGTTTTACTTTACTACTCTAAGTTCTGTTACTTTTACTTATAATATGATCCCTCTACAAGTAAATTAAAAAAAATTAAGGGGGTCCACTAGTATGACTTTTCTACAGATTAAAATTACTTCAAATAAGTATATTTATTTTTAAATATATTTATTTTTATTTTAAATTATTTTAAATATATATATTTTTTTATAAGGATATTTAAATATATTTTTCAATTTACAATTTTCTTTATCCAAAAATGAAGATATTTATTTGCTTGATTCGAGTTTAATGGAAATTATCAATGAAATGAAACAATCCTACATGAAACTGATATTTACAGAATATTTGTATAGATTTTGTATAGATTTTGATTTCTAATATCACTTGAAAATTGAAAAAAAAAAAAAATCATTGGGAGCTTATTTCAATTCTAAATTTAAAATAGTAATTTTTTTTTTCAAGACTATTTTATTTTACTTATTCGATGTAAAGCCAATATTTCTGGAAATCATATTTTTAAATTTTATAGAACACTAACTGGTACATGTAATTGTTTAGATGACATTATAAAAATATGACAGGCCTTAATTTAAAATGAATTTCTTATTAATGGAATAATTAAATAAAATTATATGTATAACAACAACATTATGGAGAGGAGAGTTAATTAACTAAATATATAATTGGAAAGAAATCTCATTTTAAACTCTTCTTTATGCTAAAACCAGAGCTCAGATCTCCAGGATGCCGTTTACTCCAGCGATTGGTACAAGACTGACTTGAAGTTCAGAATGGCTGCACAGATGATGATGATTAGAGCCAGGAAGAGGGTCAACCTCACTGCTTTGGTGATGTACCCTGTGAACTTGGCGACCTTAGGCTCAGTACGTATAGTTTTAAAGATATGATAAATTCAATGAAAAAGAGAATTATTTTAATTTTAAATTAGAGAGGTATAGATTGTAATATCTCTCTTATATTTTAAACTAGTAATAATACCTCAGATAATCACTTGTGTACTATAGGAATACTTCCAAAATAAAGAAGAGGTTGTTAAATAACAAACAAAATTATAAGAATATTAATATAATAAACTGAAATTTGCAATTATTCTATCTCAGGTATGGGTTACTGGCAATCAGATCAAAACACTCAGACAAACTAAAATTAAATATACTAAACACAAAATGAATTCAAATATGGATTGGCAAGCTAACCTTTTTCTATAGATAATGTTTCTTCCTTTGTTGCACTAAATTCTAACAATATACTAAATATAACATTTGTCTTCAAATGCTTTCCAATCTTCTGCCAAACACAATTTCCAAAACAGTAACACTTTCTTCTACTCAACTCAAGCTCCCTGGGAGATCCTCTATCTTGTATTTCCAAACAACTAGTCGCTCTTTCAAACAACTTCCAAGATGGAAATGCTATTACTGTGTTTTACTCTTTACCCCAGCCAAACACTAACCGCCGGCCTAAACAAAAACCTTTGTCCCTCCCCTCTTTGGAATTTTTCTTTTTGAGAAAACTACAGAGCAGCCATTTTCATTTCCCTGACCTACTGAAACTAGATGGGCTCGCTTTTTAACTGTTACATTAATTTATTAAATCACTTTTAACAACTTTGAATTAAGGTGTATATTACAAGATATTGAACATAAACAAAAATGAATTCTTCATATGTCTGCCAAAAGTTATTTATTATTAATGAGGAAATAGAAATCGTAAGATCTTACAGGAACCTTTCGTGAGATCAGCCCTGATAATTGGCATTGGGACATATAACAAGCGTTGGCAAAAATAAACATATATAATTTATTTATTTTTATTTTTTACTTATCACTACTAACTCCAGCTAATTCCTCTTCAATTATCCACGAAAGTCTACTACTTATCGACTTACATTTATTATTAAGTTCTTTAAGTTTAAACAAAACACTAATACCTTATGGAACAATTGATCCTTATCAATAATCAGCATTTCGTTCATTTTTTTAAATGATATACTTGGCTTTATTTTTACCTCACAGTTTAGATTAATATTATTAACCAAGAAAATTGCAAGACAGGAGAATTATACTCAAAACAATTAAGCTTTGTCATAGCTTTTCATGTATTAATTGTTATATGACCGACAAACTAGCTGTCAAGTTAGATTCTTAAGGTGGTTAGATTCATAATCAAAGTAAAATTGCATAATATAGTTCTTAGTATTTTTTTAAGCAATAGTTTTATTATTAAGTAGTTTTCGGATTTTTGGAACAGGGATTTCTTCACGGGAACACTCTTTATTTAACATGTTTGTTCTCTGTGACTCTTGGTTCTATTTTTGTTTTATTATCCCCCATAAGTCATAGTAAATATATATCGGAGCTTTTGGAGAAATCGGAAAATTGAAATACAGAAAACAAAAATAATATGTACGTTTAATTTTGTTACAAAAATTACGATTATTTAAATTTGAGTTAAATAAAATTATCAACGAGAGATGATTGAATCATTTTTATAACATATAGACTATAGGTAATTTCTCAAATTAAAATTTTAAAATGTTAGTTTTGCATAAAATATAAAACTTAATTTTTATTTTTTTTCAGTTTAATTCTTCAAAAATAATTATTATTATTTTTTTTTTTAATTTATTTATTGAGTATTATAACAATCTGTCTGTTGGACATTGGTTATAGTGAGGTAGGATGACATTCACACCATATGTACAAAAAAATAAAATAAATAGAACAAAATAATAATCAAAAGTATATACAATAGACAATAAAATAAAATAACCTAAAAAATAAGAAAATTAAAACTAAGAAAAAAAAAAAAAAAAAAAAACACATGCATACCTATATACAATCAGGCGAGGGAACTCCAGGAGAACCCTGCGCTACTCTCCCAACCGCGTCACTGGTACTAAAGCCAGCGGAGATTAGTCGAGAGCACTTAAAATAAAATAATTATAAAATAGTTTAATAATATAATATGACACAATCATTTAAAATAGAGCTATAATCATACAATGAGAAGAGATGAGAGAGGGAGGGTGGAACTCATGGGACATCTCTTTGTAGAGAAAAAAGAACACACCTTAACTAAGTTAATAGTATAATTTATTTTTCATTAGATTTTTCAAAAGTGCATAATAAATGGTCATATGATTTGTGACATAGTGAGTGTTAGTTTTTGACATGGTTTCATATGAACAAATAAATTCATCTAGTTTTCTAATCATTACCTAACAGCGTTGTTATATTTCTGACTCTTCTTTTAGAAACCTAAGCATTACCACTGACCAGTCTTGCTGAAAAATGCCACACCACTGAGGTATAAAAACTATTATCTTCCCTCTTTTTCTCCCATTTTTTACTACAATGTTATAGTCTATGAGATTTTTGTTAGAACTAGGAGATAGACTGAAGGGAGTCAAAAACTGCTTTTCAAGATTCTTCTTTTTGGATTCTATTATACATTGGTGTTCCCTTTCTCTGTAATAAGCTGATTTTTTTGACTTTATATTTTTTTTGTAGTAATCAATAAATAGTAATGCAATTCCTTTGTAAATTTGTTCTCATAGAATATATTCCAAAAAGGATATCGAATTAGTTTCGTATATCACATAACTTGTATAACCATTAAAGGGACATATTTATTTTTATTGCCATTTATTTATTAAAAGAACTTTATTTATTTTTCTTAAATTTATTTATTTATGTTGCAAATATAGAAGGAATGTAAAGATTATTTCTTGCTCTTAATTAATAAATAAATAATTTTATATATTTTCATAAATATTAAATCAATTTATATTTTATAATTTATAATATTTTAAAATTAAAATCATCAATGCTCCCATCAATTTTTCAGTAACAGTTTCAATAAATTATCAATACCATATGATGTGAATTGGGTATATAAATAAAATACAAGTAGAGTATAATAAAGTATAAGTATAAGATATTTCAAAAGAATCATTTCAATTTTTTCTGAACAAACTAACAATTATTTGTGCAATTAATACTTATTATTTTTTATAAATACAATTTAACATTATATTTGTATTATATTGTATTGTATTAAAGCTGTAAACTCAATTTTTTTTTTAATGTAAAATATTAACAGGCTGGGTGGAAAATATTACATTATGGGTGGAAAATACTTTCAACCATGACCTACCTATTTCAATGTAAATGAAATAGTATTGAATTAATTTATATCTTGATTGTTTATTTTATATTTGAGTTTCAAGTCTTTACTACAATATGTTTTTATGTATTTTTTTCTAGATTGTTCAGTTTACCTACTCATGTTCGGCTTTGATGTCACGAATGGCAGAATAATATTGTATTTTTCCTGTGATTATTTATGTAAATTCAACTGTACATATTTCATAAAATAATAAAATTATTAGAAATTATAAGTATTTTATTGTAATACCCTAGATAACTAGAATTAAATACAAAATTTATACAGGAACTAACTCCATTAAAAATATAAAAAAAACAAGAATCAGAAATCACTTCTGATCAAAAGTATATATATTCTTTAAGAAAACAATAAGATAATATTAATTAATAAATAAATAATTGTTAAGTATAAAAATATAAGAGAGAACTACATTAAAATTGTAATGCTGCTCAAGTGTGTTATACAATTCATACTAATCTATCTGGTAGACAATATCTAATAATTCAGCTTGATACACTTCGTATATGAAAATGTCATTTATTGTTTCCTTTCATTTCTCTCCCTCATTTTTCTCAATTCTGTCACTCGGATTCATAAAGCAAGAACCTGATTTAATAGAGGTGATTGGTGCAGGATTCAAAATGAGTCCAAAATAATGGACTCCACCATACTCTGTATCTCATACCTTTCAACATATAGCTTTTTCAAAAAAACTAACAGTTGAAAGTGGAATTGCACCACCATAAAAGACTCAGGCCCCTGTATTGCCTTAGCGCATACATCATGGCAGAGCACGTGTTAGCTGGTAAATCTACCATTGCCTTCACACTTCTTCATAGTATGACGTCTATAGATTCCAGTAGTGATATTCGGCAATGGCGCTATTCGTAGCGGATGTATTAAATAAGGGAATACATAACCATTCATTATATTAATCTTTTGATCCGGCTTAAGGAGATTCCAATTAATTAGCTTATTCCAGATTCCAATTCACCCTACTTACAGAATTATCATCAAATTCTAGCTCACCGGAGAAACAACACATGAGGTAATTGATTGTGTCTCCTTCTTCAATTGAACATATTACTTCCCTGGTGTCCAAACTTTGATCTTATCAACTTACCCTTTTTTGAGATAATACCAAACTTTTTTGGGGGTTAGTGGGTAATCCCAACTCGCTGAGCATTTTCCAAATGCATTTAATTGTCCTCTTTGCATCTTGGACATTTTGAGCGTTCACCAATTGTCATCTGCGAAACCTGTAAGTACAACAGAATCGTGGTTATGGTCTAATTTGTATCCATATTCTACTGCAACTTTCGGTTTGCACAGCTCTGTATATTAACTTTCCCTTATAATAAATTGAACGCCAGAATAAAAAAAAAATATATATTTTCAAAAAATATGTATATAAAAAATTGATACCAATATAACCAATGAAGGTTCTTTGGTTAAGTACATGTAAACGAAATGTTATTTCTTGTCCATTGGATGGTCCATTGATTTGGCCAAGATTATGCACTTCTGCCAAGTTTTCACTAATAAAGTGTCCATTATGGAAGCCGGTTGTATTCCAGGATGGTTTCTAGGTCCACAGGAGCAGATTAAATAGTAAGCAGAGTAAGTGTTCACTTAGCGCCTCCTATAGCCATGGGCGATAAAATATCTTTATATTGATATTTTAAATATTGTTGCAACTAACACTTAAACAACTTTATAGGTTAAAATACTTTAACATGCATAATTTGTGTAAACTAAATGTTAATCATATAAATTAATTTAATAAAAATAAATTTAATATGAGATTTCATATCAATAATTCTTTATTAAAATAAATAACAAATCATGAGAATACCAAACTTTTATTCCAGATCTCTATCAATGGAGCAGATTAAGTGGTAAGCAGACTAAATGTTCACAGTAGGGCCTCCAATAGCAATGGGTCTTCAAATATCCTTACTTAAAGATTTCAGAAATGACCACAAAGGTTTAAAAAATGTACATAAAAGTGAGCGAATAATTCTGAAAACAAAAATATTAAATTTATGGTTTCTTAATTACATTTTGTCTCTTACTGCTTGAAATGCGCATTTGACTTGACCAGTGCCTGCTGATATAACAGAGTAAATAATTCTCAGCCAAAGCCAGACTTGAAGACCACTCAATATTCAGTTTTACCACTCAGTTTATATATATATATATATATATATATATATATATATATATATATATATATATATGAGTGTATTTCATAACCTTAATTAAAAAATACAGTTTTAGTTTGTGTGAAAAAATTGAATAAATTAAAGGACCCAAAGTATTATGAATATGGATAACAAATTATAATCACCCATCAGATATTTGGAATATTGTTCCTTAATTAACTTTAGTGGTTCAAATACCTTACCATACATAATTTGTGTAAACTAAATGTTAATAATAATTTAATAATATGAAATTTCAAGTTAATAATTCTTTATTTAAATAAATGCCAAATTAGAAGAATACCAAACTTTTGTTATCATACATCAGATTTCTATCAGGGTTCAAAGGCCAAAAAAGTAATAGTATAATTGTAATTGAAAGTATTAATTTACTAATATATAAGCAAATCTTTAAATCTCTAAGTATTTATGTATTTCTATAAAAGTAATTTTCTAAAATTGAATATACTAAACAGATGGAACGTCCTATTTTTCTTTTTAACCTCAATAAAATACTTTTTAAGATTAGATGTTTTTATATGAATATTTTATAATATATATTTTATTATATGATTATAAATATAAAAACATTCATAGATGTAATAACACCGATATTTTGTAAAATAAAAATGAGATACTTTTAAATTAAACTTTTTTTACTGTTTTTAAGACTTTTTTAATAGATTCATAACTTTAAAACATATATAAACCAGTCAACGATATTACTATAAATGAATTAATGAAAGAAATTATCATATTGCTTTTTCAGTACATTCTTTGTACAGTAGCCAGAGTTAAAGTTTTCATACATGCATTAGTTGAAAATGAAAAAAAATTTACAAATGGAATTCTTTTCTATTCATTTTTTTAAATTTAAACATTAAAGTATATCTTAAATTAAAATTTTACCAGGGTAATAACCCTCTTTGCTAAAATTCAACCTAATTTTATTATTTATTCAATATATAAGAAGAGGTCATTTTCTATGCACTCTGTCTTTATATTTATATTATTTTAATATTCTCCGAATCGTATAATTTTTCTCATTTATTTATGGTGTTTTTTGGTTTCTCCTTCCTCACCTTTTTAGGCTACACGACGGTTTTCCCAGCCCAGGGGGTGAGGGCGGTTGATTAATGCCGGAGTTAAAAGATCCCCCTGGCACAGGGATGAGAACTCGTGATTATTTTGTAGTTGTTATGTTAGTGTCTAGGTTATCAGGTTGCTGGGCAACGGCAGTGCTGTGCACACACGTTAGCTGCCAGGTCGTCCACCCCTCCCCTTATTTATGGTGTTATTTTTGTAGACTTTTTAAGACTATTTCTGCAAATATGGGTATAATAGAAACATCCAAATTTTACTAGAGGAATAGCCCTTAGTCCCAAGCTATTCTCACACAGGAATGGTTTTTAAATAATTATCCAAATGAACATGAAACTCCTCTCCACAGTCCAGATTTAAATCCTATTGAACATTTCTGGGTTCATGTTGAGCCACAGTTCATCAATAAAAATATAATGTTAATTGTATAATTAATTTATAAACTAAATTGTTCGAAGAATGGGGAAGAGTACCCTCCCAATTGACTTCAAATTTGACCCCAAATGATAATAGTACTATAATAAAAAGGATTTGATTCAACATATTAATTTAAAACTTTTGACTAAAATAAGTACATAAATTATTATATAGTATGAACAATTTTGTAGCTTTTAATTCTTATTTTATTCCTAAAAGTTGATTTGAAAAATATATATTGTTAGACAAATATTAAGGATAAAATTAATTAAAATGTTATTGAAGTTATACTTAGACGTATTAATAATAATAAAAAAAAAATTGTTTTTATTTATTATTCAACTGATGCCTGTATGAAAAATTTTGCTATCCATTGCAGATATTATCGAGTTTCTTTAAATAGAAATATAGAAACTAGTATAACTTTGAAAATATATTGCTATTTAGTGCATGTAAGTTACCGCACTCTTTAGAACACTTAAACAAGTGAGGTTACTCCACCCGCTCCTAGTTCAAATGCTATTCAATAGATAGCACCATGGACATTTCATGTTAACATTACTCAATTTTTTAAATGTCTATAAAAATGAAAAAAATACGAATAATTATTTACCTATTACTTAGAATATTTACATGCAGATTAAAATTAATTATAAGTTAGTCATATAAACCTAAGAATAATTTATGCATTCATGAATAATTCATTAATTGCTATATTAACCTGAGCTTGAAATGAAATTGTAACTTTTCTTTTTGATCAGTTTCGGTATAACTGGAATCTTTATATTAAATATTTTTCTGTTATTTCGTAGCTTTTCCCCTAGCAACTATTCAAGTAAAGGTTTTACATAACTTTTATTTTTAATAAATCTTTCATTTAAAAGTTTTATTGATTTTACCAAAAAGTCAATCTAAAAAATTACTTTAATTGTTAGCTACTACAACACATTAGAAACAATAAATTCATTTAAGATAAATTACAACTCTAATTTAAGCCTGATTATTTCTCATTTAACTATTTTTAAGGAATTCAATAAATAAAAGTTAAACTTTTATCATAAACAAAGAACTTACAAAAAGTTCATTAGAACTATTATTTTATGAATATTTTTTTTTTTAAATGTTTTACAGAAACTGTTAAAATAGATCATTTCAAAAGGTTCCATTAAAGTTTCAACCTCTGCTTTTAAGCCCAAATATTTGGGGTTTTTTTTTTTTGAGATTTTAAAAATACATATGAATTGTGCTAGAAATGCATTATTTAATAAGTATCATTTTTAAGAATTTGACTCAAATATAAATCTCGAAGAAAGCCAAAAACTAAACTGGGTTGTTTCTAAAAACTGGTGAGACTATTAGAAGCCTTATGAGACTGGAGAAGCCTTTATTGCTCAGATATAGAAAAAATAAAATAAAAATGTCTACTGGTGTCTACAGGAGGTGTGGCCTGTAGTTCATAGTCTACCAATTTCTAACAACATAATTTCTTTTATTCAATATTTCTCCTTGT